AGGCCATCCAAGAGGTACCATATGTCTCGTATAATACTCAATACTTGATTTCTCAACCACGAAGTACAACCACATGATGCGAGCCAAATAGATTACTTCTGCGATACAGCGATTGTAAAAAAAAAGTTGTGTGCTTCAATAAAAACGGAGCTCGCAAGCTTTCTGCTTCCCACCTCCAGCAGCGCAACACACGTTGCGTCATACATGTACACTTTACGTGATGCCTCAACAATTGGCGACGTCAATATCATCACAATTATCAATTTATTGTCGGAGTAAACTGAATGAAAGTTTGCCACCACATCAAGCCAGTCCGTCTGAATTTTTATCTCAACGAAAAACTCGGCAACCATTTTAGCATTCGTTGTAAAATGTACGATAACAACGTTGCTGTTCGCAACATCACAATATCACTTTGGATGATTGGCGGCTTAGCCAAGCAGACGCGTCCTGACTCAGCAAGGTAACTTTTCACTGCAAGATAATTTTTGTCGTGAGCCAAAAAATCTTCTCCACCAATTTATGCTGACGAACTTGAAAACACGATCAACTGTTCATTGACATCTGCTTGGAGTACCTCGCAGCTCATAAAAATGGCTAAAGCTCTTCAAGCGACATGAAATGGCCGCTCAGGACTTGAGAGAGAAAGTATATTTCAGAACTCGAATGAGGACTGACTTTCATAGTCAGTCTTGAAGGCCTTTGCTTCTCCCTCTACAAGCACCATTCGACCTCCAATCCTAAAAAACTTGTGAGAGGTCGTATCTTGTTGGTATAATTTGCAATGTTGTTGTCAAAGACCAAGCCATGCGATTGATTCAAAGAAACAGTTTATTCCACGATGGTTTTTAATTATCTGAAAATTGCCCGCATGCCATTCCTCCCAGTTAGCATCACAGGAAGGAAACTACGTTAGCGCTAAAGCCACATTTGCATATATTGAGAAATAGTTTGTTTTGAAGCGCGAAATATACGGGCACTATCTGCTAGTGTTTTATGTGGTTCTGGACGACCCGTGGATGTTGAACAACGATCGTTTTTAGGTATGATGGCTAAAACCGCTTGTCGCCAGATGGTCGAACGTCACTGGCGCGTTAAACAGTTGAAGTGGTAAAAGTAATAATCCCAGAGCATCACGCTCAACGCTTACCAATTTCAGAGTTATATCGCTGTCTCTCAACAATTTGGGCAAAGACACGCGAACGACCATGCAGATCTTTTCCAGATATCGACGTCTGCGCGGAGTAATGGCTGCATTTAGCTTATTGTTAACTAGCACGATGTCCGACTTAGATTAGCATCTTTGCCACCTTGAGATAGCGCCGAGCGGGTTAATTTACTAATTTTACCAAACTCGCTTCCTTTTTTAAATCAAAGATTACGTCAATGAGGACCATTGACATGTGAGGCAATATACAATTCAAACAGCAGGTAATTTCAATGACATTCTATAGTCTACACGCGTGAAGAGTCTCCTATCACCACGTCGTAATATTTCTTTAACAAATAAAGAAGCTACTACCTCCGGTGAACAATCCGGTTTTCACAGAGAGGAAGCCGAACTTCACATTTAGCGCGATACTCACTGTCTTTTTCTTAGACCTAGGGCAGACTTGAATAACCTCGGTGTGAGCCGAGACCGTCCGGAGGTACGTTACTGCCTTTGGAATTCCATTCAGTCGATAGGAAATCGTAGTCTCCGGACTTGTATGCTAGTTCTTGCCTCGCCTGACAATTTGGCAAGAACCTCCAATGCACTCGATACGCCTGATCAGGCGGTGGAAACACGTGCGACATATGTCGTCTCAAATCTTCGCGTATTGGAAATGCGCCATTCGCAGAGGGACCACGCTTTATTGTTCATTCTCATCCGCGGATCTCTAGCTTGGAGACCACAGCAGGATGTGCTTTGACTCTCTTCGGAGCAAGCCCGAAACCGTGTTTTTGTATCTATTCTCAAAGGGCTGGATGCTTTCTATCAGCGACGTTATCTGTGCTTCCTCCAACGCTTAGTTAGAGCTCTTTTGATGTATCGTCCAGAGCGTTTCACATTGGTGAGCACGTATAGGCGAACGATTACCGCGCCAAGCCTTTGGTCCGCCAGTTCTTTGACCTCATCGAGCGCAACAATGCTATTTTCTTTCTGAGCGGGTCGAGTTATTTCGGAATAGGCAATCAATCAAATCGTGTTTTATTCGCAAAAAAATATATTTTAAAGCCTCGATCGTGGGAGTCACTCGAAATTTCACCCAGTGTTGTCGTGGCTTAAAGAAAGAGAAAGTTTTGCTTCAGCGAGGTCGCCTTAACAAACGCTCAGAGATCGGATTCGGACGCTCCCTGCACGGGAGGAACAATGAGTTGTTACCAAACTAGCTAGCTACCTTGATTGTTTTGTATTTCAATATATCTATTCAAAATTAACTCTAATTGTAGTAATACTATTTAAATGCGTTTCGCTATGTCCATTAATAAAACGATTTACTGTCTGACGCAAGGCGGACAGCCCACGTGTACCACGAATCTCTTTTTGATAGAACCTGAACGCTTCTTGATAATTTATACTTTGGTCCCTTTTGTCTTTTAGAAAATTTTACAAATGTATAAGGCATATGTACTCAATAGTACCGCACATACCCCCTGAATGTGGTAGCATCCGCAGTCACATAAATGCTTACGTGGGTAAAGTAAAGTCCTGAATCCTCTCGTAATTTTGAAAGGTTGATATTACCCTCCCATAAGACCAGCTCAGTATGAGTTCTTTCTGAATATGAAAAGCATCTACAGGGCACTTTAAATCTTGTCAGTATCGTTGCTGGTCGAGCCAACTAAGCGCGTGAAAGTGTTCGAGCAGTTTGAATATGATAGAATTTTTCACTTTAGGTACTCATTCAGGGCCACTATGCCAGATCTATGGGTACAAAGATGCAAGCCTTAAGGGCTTCAAGTGTGCCCCTATGAAGGGACAAAAGGTAAAGCCCCCAGCGTTTAAGTCTGCGATAGAGAGCTAGCTATGGAAGCAGCCCTGATCACCAACGAGTAACTTAGAGTTTGCCCTTATCAATCTAATCGGTCACATATATTTGGCTTAAGTTTAAACAGTATACGCACTTATACCGATTGGTCTTTGCTTATCAGATTCAATAGTAAAGCCTGAAGCATCACAGACGATCTGAAATGACTGACTGGATTTAAAGAGGTCGAAATTGGGCACAAAAGATGCGTTCATCCACAGCCTTAAAGGCCATTTTTTAACCACCATTTGCACAGCTCTATAAGAGGAGGGGTGAGGAGCTATACCATTTTGGCATAATTTGCGCTATAATTGTGCGAGTAGTTGGTCAAACCAAAGTACGTCGCGAGTTTTTCTGAGATGGAGTACTGGCTAGTTTCGAACACGCTGCTTATTGCGGGATCTGCCTGTATGCCAAGCATTCCTCAAAGCATATCAGATAAAAAGTTGGGTGGCTTCAAAAACACATTTGTCTATGTCATCAAAATGATCGTTTACACACATTCATTCGGGAATTATTTGCAAGTTTCTATGTGGTTTTCCACATCTGCTCCCCGTGCTCTTTACGACTATTGACAAAGATAGGTTTGTGCATAGGCACGATGTGGCCTAAACAGCATTAATTTCAGATCTCAGTCACTTCCAGTGCATCTCGATTGACGTACTCTCCGCAGTAAGATGGATAGCACTGTCTCAAATAGAGAATTTTTAGTAGTTATCAGCTAAGCCAAGAGCTGGAAGCATCGGTGTACTTCTGCAGAACATCTTTTCTTACCGAAGATGGGCCGTCGTGTCTGATGAGCGGAAATTTTCCCGCTTGAAAGCACGCACACTCTGTCTCTTGGTGTTGCCAAAGAGAAGATTGGTGCCCGATTGCACGATTTTCTATCTCATATCACATTCAAGTCATGTCTCGCACGAAAGAACGCGTCGATGTCATCACATCAATTATCTAGTAAGAGCCATTGGCTTCTGACGTAGTTTTGTTTCGGGGAGCAAGTTATTTTTTTGATGCAAACTTTAAGGCAGCAGCGTGATGAGCCACTTGCCGCCATATCTTGACACTCCTGATCAAGGGGTTAAAGAATCCCTTGGTCCCTCGAAGAAGGCCATCTCAATTCTCGTACAAAATGCTCTACAAGTGTCTTCAAAATGAACTTATCCACGACAAGTGATAAGGTCAACATTTTCTTCAGAACCATCGGTACCACTTTGGTAAAATCACCGTCATGGAATGCTCTGCGAAATATCCGATTGAAATGATGTCACTTTAATAAGAGTTTCGGAGGCAATGGGGAGACCCACGAACTTAGAGATATCCTGATCGTAACTCACAGGTAAATTATCCTTCTCTTTTCAAGCCTAAGCAGCTTCACTACTCGTACGCTAAGCATATCGCACGGTAGTGCTGACTTAGCAGTACCTTCAAACGTGACAAAAATGGACCAACCTTAGTAGCTCTAAAGCGAAGCGTTTCCTTGCAACTCACGGTAGCCTGATCTAACCGTGACCCACATTGTTCATGACTCGTCTTCAACGGCAGTGGTAAAGAATTCCGCAACACATCGTCGCGTTTTCTCGTTTCCGCTTTGCCACATGGACACTGGCTGACAGCTGTTCCGTAACGTTTCACGACGGAAACACTCTGGTCACTGCGATACACCGTCTCTAAACTCTGTCGCAGTAGATATGCACTCAGGAGTCGGTGATTTACGTTTGTCATCTGCTCTTCGCTTCTGTCTTCCGCGCTTTTGCTCAAGAAACCCTGCAACATCGTTGCTCAGAGTGTCAGGTCCAGCACCAAAGCTATCGCAGCTTCATTCCCGTATCAAAACAACTACTTTTTAGCTGAAGTAATCATACGCCTTACCGAAACTATAATTTATTTAGTATTTTCGTAAAACTAAGGACACTGGCAAGAAGGCTACCATGCGACTACTAATCCCGTTTTTAAATACATACAGCCTTTTTAACCCCACGCAGGCCAATGATGTTTGATATTGATATTGATCTAGCATTTAAGAGAATCGCCATACAGCTCGACATCCAAAAGCCTGGCTTGGGTTTGTTGCCACTGACACGCTCGGAAATCTTCATTCACCCTCCTGCACTTCGGCCGGGCATCGCAACACGAAAATTGTAAGTCGCATTTGATGCGGCATCAATATTGTGGTGACATAGACCCGAGGCGAAGGAGTCTGTAAAAAGCATACGTTTGATGTGATTGGTTGTTCCCTCGACGTTCGTGTGGTGCTTGCACGTTAGCGTTCAGCCTTTTGAGGATAGAGGTTAGGTCAGAGAAGCTGAGATTGTCATAATCCCGGCTATGCTTCGGACGGAGCAATAGCCTTTTCGCGAGCGATTTCCAAGCTAAGAAACCATTAGCGAAATGAGCGCTGTCGTAGAACATCTATAAATAGAACTGCATCCTGACACGGGATGGAACTGAAATTACAAATGCCGTGATAGTCCGCACAGCCTAATCAGGCGTAACTGGTGCGTTCCAGGCCCTTGTCTAACAGTCAGTCACGATAAGAATGAGACGACCATATATAAGGGCTTCAAGCTTCACCGCCGCGATGGTGGCAAATCCACTACCAGAAGCGGTAACAGCTATCTCTTTAACGAAAGGTCTCAGATCTGTTGTCACTCGCATAGAAAGTTCCCACGCTTACTCAATTTCTTCGAAAAGCTTTAAACGCCTTCATGATAAACACTGAACTTTGAATGCTTTACACCGCATGAAGTGGGTCCGATCTTAGTATAAGGGGTCTTGATAACCGGGACTTGCTGATACATAGTTCATAGCAAAATCTATGATATCATCGCTATGAGATTGAGCTTCATGTGCAGAGTGTGTCACACCATGGATGAGAGCCAGATTGTACAAAAGCAATACGCCAATAACAATGGCAAATGTGACTCATAGAATGTTGTGAAGCAGAAATTATATTGAATGCAAGCATGCCATCTACAAATGAAGTGTCGGTGAATTCTAAAAGAACGACTATGCAACTTTGAACCTCTCACTGTTGTAATTTTTTTAGTAATGAGCTGTACGCTTAACGTCTCAAACACACCTACTGTTTTACGTAAGCTTACTGAAGCCTTACCACGATCTCATCTTTATGAGCCAATTAGGTTTAAAGAGCTTGGCTACAAACTTGCACGTGTCCACTACCCCCACTAGCTGAACTACCCTTTGCTTTAAAGCAGCATCGCATTCCAAATCGCTGGCGGGTGCCTAAAGCTATGCAGTGCGATGACAAAGCCCGGAGAGTAAGCCCAAGACCGGGCCTATCTAAATCTCGGAGCGAAATACTCGGAGCAAATCACAGTTTCGCTGAAACCGCGAGAGCTCACGAGAGCCATTATCGTAGGGGTCAACGTCATCCGGCACTGCTTGATGTGTAAGGAGTAAACCACTTCTACTTGGCACTTTTGGTGGACCGTCGAATTCATCAGGGCTGTCACTAGTATCCAGTGAAGTGGAAGGGACACCCTTAAAAAAAGACGCGATGAAATTTGAAGTCCCGGTTCAGCAAGATGCTCTAAAGCTTTGGCTACGTCTTGGCTCATCTGTGGCCTCTGTAAAGAGAAAGGATTTGCATACCAATGCACTTCGCACTAGTAGATGGCAACCAGTGTAATGCGTCACCTGATGCAAACATAATGCGCAGAAGTGACTAGCTCAAGCAAAGGAAGTGTATGAGTGACTATTCGTCATTATGCGATTCATATACTCCGCTCGGCCGTCCGTTTGCAGATGGTAAGCGGCTGTCAATTTTGGTCTGGTGGTGAGCATCTTAAACAATATTCACCGAAACCTGTCTGTAAAGCTTGGAACTCTACTCTATCGATACAACAGTTACCGGCACATTACGATATTAAAAACTCTACTTTAAAGAGCAGCTGAGCTTTATTCTCATGTTTGGTCGTTGCTGACAGCGACGAGATTTTGCTCGGAGACGGCAATACCGGTAGTATTGAGCATGTGTTTTTGAAAGTCAAAGTCAACATCCATACTTAGGACTGCTGGCACTCTGCAAGACCGGCAGACTGACCTAAGACACTAACACGTGCAGCGAGGGCTTAAGCTTTTGACACGCTACACACGTGCGCAAATGTGTGATTATCTACTTGTACATGTTAGACCACTTATATAAAGCGCTTACTGAACAGTATGCCTTTTCTCTTCCGCTTTCTTGCAAATCCCGTCGCATGCTTGGCGCAGCATAAAGCGTCAATGGCGTCGCACAATTCTCGTCATAAGGTTCACTGCCGTGTGACATACTATTTGGCTCCAGGAACTAGGTCAATTTTATGACGCACTCCGCTCTCCGGGGATGACACGCGAGGTGGATTTCGCGTTATCAAGTCGGGAAAGTCTTATGACAAAGGATACAACTAAATCTTAGAATCATTCCGGATAGCTGCTCCACTGTTTGCACCTAGTGTTCTGTACGTATGCTCGATGACGAGTTCATCCATGACGGATGACAAGCTCAGCTCACCCCCCTAACCGTACCATTACGGTAACTTCACCGTTTTGCGATATCTTGAACGTTTCTCCCAGGGAAAATCTCTTGAGCTTATTGAGAGCATTTGCTGGTGATAATTGGGTTAACTTTTAACCCTCCGGTGCGTACAAAGGTTTGTCTATTTGTCAAGGAAGGTGACACCGAGCAGACTATGTCCAGTGGCTCAAATCTATTATTGCCACTGTGTTGTGAAAGCTTGATGACGGGTAATACCTCGATTGAGGTTTCCGAACGGGTGCGGTTCGCACCGAGGTTTACAGCGTTCAGCTAATTTGTAGAAAGTGCTGTTGTATCGAGCGCAGGGTACAACTTTCGTGCCGCGAGGGCTGATCGGGGTGCTGCAGACATAAGCCATACTAGCGCGCCTTGGGAAATAGATCTTGGTTATGTGGAGTAGTTGATATTGTTCTAAGAAGCTTACGGTATTTGCAAATGTTTCAAAAACATCTGCGCCTTGCGTACTGTAACGGAGTTACACTTACCCTGGTATTAAGGGGTGGTTCACACAAGATGGAGTGACCATACAAGGGTGTGGGTTACACAATACGGTGTAATCTAAAACGGTGTGGCTACACATTTACAAAAATTATGTACGTCGCTGGACTGTCAGTTGTTATACATTTCAATTAGGTTTGACTATTTGATCAGGAAATTCTATAGATTGAGATATAGACGGCTTTGCCGCAAATAATGCCAAGCAATACAGTCCACATTTTAACCGAAAGAGTACATTTGACTGGAGCTAAGGTTGTGGTTACTCCTTAAGATAGCGGATTGTGATCCACTACACTCGTACTGGTTCTGATTATAGAACGAATGTCACCGACCTGAGCTTGGCTTTTTATAAGCGAGAGAGCAGCGGCAGCCCCGCTGCACTTGGTAGCACTGGTAGTCAATCTACACCTGAGCCGTTTAGACTGATCCTCGGTCAGGAAGCAGCAGCTCTCCTATTTGCCCCCAGGGCATGCGGGACGGGCTTTCAAAGCTGATCCCTCTGCTTGACCCTGAGGGCGTGCAACACATCGCTTCGCAAAGACCTAGAGCGATCAGCGCGCGCCTAGAGGCGTATTTGAGCAATGAAAATACTCTGCTAGAGCACTTAAAGCGGAAGATGTCAGCGTTGACTCCGTCCATAATGTCACCATGAACGACGGATGACCCCTTTCGACCCAAGCCGCTCATGGTGAGCATTAAGACCTTCAAGGGCAAGGATGGAGAGAATCTTCTGCTCTGGGTGAGAAAGGCCGAGATGGCTATGGCATCCGCCATGCTCCAGACCAAGAGACAGCGCGTGGCGCTGGCTATCTCCAAGCTCGGTGGTCGAGCACGAGAATGGGCACTGACGTGCGGCATTTCGGTCAAAGCTGCGTTTTTCTTCTGTATGGAACTGAAGCTGTAGCATTTGTGAGTGTTCTCGACACCTAACCAGGCGTATCACATGCAACCGCGTTACCTTGTCGCCCGGCAGGGCAAGAATGAATTGGTGGGCTTTGTCCAAGAGTCGCGTACTCTCATTGCCGGTATGGCAGCCGATCCTCTCCCAGAGGCGGTCACAGCGACCGAATTTATTTAGGGCCCCAGCACTGGGGTGGCCAGAATAAAAGTCTTCCGTGCATCCGTCTTTTTTAAAGAAGCAGTGAATGTAACTTTGAATGCCGCATGCAATCGCGTTTTCTTGTTGCCCGGCAGGGCAGGAAGGAATTGGTGGACTTTGGTCAAGTGTTGCGTACTCTCATTGCCGGTATGGCAGCCGATCCTCTCCCAGAGGCGGTCAAAGCGACCGCCTTTATTCAGGGCCTCCACACTGGCGTGGCCAGAATGGAAGTTATCCGTGTGCATCCGTCTTCTTTTGAAGAAGCAGTAAATGTGACATTGAATGCTGATACAACTTTACGTCCACACGATTTGGCTGAAATGCACACTCTAGCAGCTCGTTGAGCGGGTCTGAGCTGATGAATCTATGCTATGCTGAATAAGAGGAGGTAGAGCTCCGAGCTGCCGAGTAGCGTTTGAACGCTCGACAGTGTTCTGTCTGTGGAGACATCCATCTTCTTCGAATTGGTTGCCCTCTGCGCGAGGCGCGTCAAGGTTCATCAATCAGATGTCCTGCTTCTTACCAGTCTTCTGGTTTGGCGTGGAGAAAGGACAACATCTAA